TGTCCTTGTTTACGTGTCATCCCAGTCCTAACATAACCTACTCAATTATACAATCACAGAGGGCCGCTACTTTAACGATCGTATCGGGTAGCTCACTGAAGTAGTTGGCGCAATTCAGGAATACCCGCCTGTTTGACTCAGGTCAGTTGGCGCAATTCATGCCCGCACAATAACTTGATGTGTTTGTTTTGAGTTGTCACCGGAGTTGTTTGGATAGGCGATGGTGTGAGCAAGTCTGTGGGAAACGCCAACGTTCTTAAATAATTTATCGATCTAAGCTCTTATAAACCATTGATGAATGCCAAATTGAATAGAAATCGTAATATTATATACATTTTCTGTTGTGTAAGTGTTTTTGAACTCATACACATATACCCCAGAAAAACTGTTAAAATCTACTGCCCAAGTAAGTTTATTCAATAATCGCCTTACAGTTATACGATTATCATTGCTATTAATGATGTAATCTAAAGGCCGTTGTAGATAGATATAGATACTAGATAATAACTAGACCAAGACTTGTATCGGTCTCTAAACTTTAAAAATTGCCAACAGCGTAAATAAACACAAATTAAAACTACCAAATTTCATTTTGTTGAAACAATTAACATTCTTTTCACAACTGCAACAACGCACAGGCGCTGGGTCCATAGTGATCGGTCACCCGCGTACTGTTACTATGTAAACCGGTCCAGTAAACCTCCCTGGTGGTCTGGTATTTATGTACCAAGGCAAGGCTAGAAGTGCAGTTCACCTTTATTGAGCATTGTTCACAGAGCCAACTCACTAGATCAAAATTGAAAGCTCGAAGGAAATGGGTCGGAAATTTAAAAATGCAATAACAACTTTATCGAATTTAAAGTGGTTGTGATTATTTTGACATCTAAAACACGGTAATTTTTAAAAGCCTTTTCCTAACACTGCAGATGATGTTGTCCAAGTTGGAAGTGGAAGTGGTTTGCCAATCGAGTGTTAGTTTATCTTATCACAACAACTACAACACGGTGAATTCTAGCGAAATGACGCAGAACCAATCACCTGGTTGGTTTACGGAGAATCAGTGAGGTGATCCAGTAGAGTAGAAGTATAATCATACGCTTAATTGGTGTGCTTATTATTTCACACCTGTTATGTTTCAACTATACTTTTCCACGCTCTTCCTCATTTAATCAAGTCTAGATCAAGCCTAGCCTTCCCAATGCTTAAAGACGCATTTGGAGTAATTTCTCGCGAGTAAGTGCTACAACAGTATCTAATCATTTCTTTCTGACGGATGATCAATGAATTTTATTGTTTTAAGTCAATATACTTTTATAGTTTGTTGACTTGGAGAATGCAATGTATAATGTCAATTTGGCTAATTAAATAGGCATTGGGCGTTTCCAGTGGGTTGTCGAAGCGAAATCATTCACTTCAGAGTGATTTAAGCGGTCTCACCCGTTACCTTCAACTGCTTCAACCTGCACATCACATTTGGGAAACCAATATTAATCGTTTTCCTCAGCAACGCATACTGAGTAATCTAAAGTCACGAGACAATCAACACAAAGAACCATTGTGTGACTGAAGTTATCGTAAGTCGGTTTGTTGACTGTGATAGTTTATCTCAATGAGGAACCGCAGGCGTGCATTTCCGTTGAGATTCTACGTGTACGGTGATTGAGACAAAGAAATTAGAGACGAGTCAGCTAAAAATTGTATACAAATAAATCATTGTATGCCATTGTAATCAATGTTGTTCAAACACGTGTCGATAGTAACGTTGTATAGAGATTTCAGTGTACTTTGAACTTTGTTAAATGTATGCAGGAGTCGCCGGAAGACTGCCCCCGGGACAACTACCCTCCCAAGCAGGTTCCTACGTCATTTTGACGTCAGAGATAGGGTAGGGGGCAGTTTTCCAATCGCGGCTCCCATATTGGTTAGTTGCCAGATTTCGTGACGTCACGTTTCACCTGGGGGGGGGGGGTTTGGTTTTTTCGGGGGGTAGTATTCCGCATCCCCTGTGAATTAACTAACATTGATCTATACTCTTACCGTATTTATTTCTTCATTATGTTGATCTTTCTCCCTAATTAATCTTTTGGTACAAATGTTTGTTACTCTCTATATTTGTTGACATGTATTTAATATTTACTTGGTTGTCTGTTTGCTAATCAGTGTATATGAATGGTTAGAAGCTAGAACTACGGACTTATCGTGTCGGCATCTGAGTTTATTGGAAGTGTGTTGGTCTTGGTACGGTAGCAACTCCGAGCCGATACGTCAACCTTGTACTTGTACATGCGTCGCATTCCACACAGTTTACTGCCCACTGTATCTCTGTCTCGCCTCTAGACCTACCTAGGTGTCTACAAGCGTGTCTAGGGCATATATGGAACCTATAGATCAGGACTGTTTAGAACTGTAAAAACACAATTGGGTCCGAAATTTAACATGATACTCAAGTCGTCTCCTTCCAGTCTAGACTTAGGGATATGTCCGCAATGAACTTCTCTAGTCTTCCTTTACGTTCTCTCAAGGTGTATCTAAATTCCTATAAGTTTATTGAGTTTACAAGTTACCAAAACTGAGATGCGTACCTATGAGACTGGAAGAGGACCAAGTTTTTCAAGTTCAGCTGTTCAGCAGCCACTCGGGCACTTATCCTAGTGGAAAGAAGCAACTGTTAAAATATATTTTCGTTTATTTAGCCAATTTAAAATTTTCAAGTTTTATCCAGAAAGAATGTGGTTTCTCGTCGTTGTAGTTCAACAGTCGGTGTATTTATGGTTTATTATTTTATTTTTGATATCGTCAGGAATTATATTGTTGTAGTGTAGCTATACTAGCCCTACTACGCGCCGCCGTGAGGTCTATCTCCATTGTTCTGATTATCTGTAAGCAACTTGACGCTTTCCCATTGTTGCCGATTGTTTTGTGTGAGTCATAGGGGAGAGAAAGAGGTCGTGTTTCGTGTCAAAACATTATATTTTCAAAGAATACCTCAACCTTCAATATTCGTCTAGTAGCCAAACAATCATTTAGTTCGTCTTGTCATCTTTTACAAACGGATTTTTGCTCAGTTGTCGTGATGACGACGAGGGCTTTGTTCTTCCAGTGAAGCGTCTATGAAATATTCCTGGAGTTTACAATTATAAAAAAACTAGTTTTTTTATGAACCACGCTTTTTGTAATTTTACCGTTTAATTCGGAGGTTGTGAAACAACGTAAAGTAAAATAGTAAAAAAAAACTAAATTACAAAAAGTGTGCAAACAAAAACAAGAGTTAAAACTCGTCTGTATTGATGTAGGGTCCTCTAAACGGCACCTACAGTCTCAACACAGGACCACTGTCGGAGGACGACGTCCTTGAGGTTTAAGTTCAAGGTCACTCCAGGAGTCTCTCCTAGTAACGGTCCTAGTCCTGGAGTGAGATGGGAGTTTTTGTCTGGTCTCCGCCCCACTGGCAGCACTATGTTTACATTTTTTGGCTCTCTAATACAGGTCAATAAACGGGATTTGGCTGAGATATTTTATACTTGTGTGGTACATTTTGATAAGAGATAGTAGTAATTTATAGGACTGTTGAGAGCATTAGATCAATGTTCCATTGTGGATAGTTCATTCCATCTACTCCTAATGACTTAGTATTTTAAATTTGACTTTGTAGTATGAGAAGTGTCAGAGAGATTAATGCTGATATTTTTAATACTTTTGAAAGTAAAACTCCGACTTAAATAACTCTAGAAGGTTGTTCACAATGGTGGTTTTTAGATTCTTCAACAACTACGTTTTCCTGGCAAAGATGAATTATAAACGGGTAGCAAAAAAATAGATCTTTTCATAAAACTTTGGTTTCTTTCCAACATCGAAAAAGATATTTAATTCTTTAAATCTGGTGTCAAAAATGGTTATATTACACAAACCTAAAAGTTAATTAAGAGGGGTTGGCATCCGCTAATTACAGTACTCTGTAATTCTTAATTGACATTCATGTGAATATGAGTGACTCAAGGCATTCATAGGAGAGATGATTTAGGGATTAACAATAGGAAAACTACATTAGCTCCCCACTAACATGAAACAAAGATGTTTCAAATTAACTCATTCTTCTTCCTGGTTCTACATAGGCTAGTATTTTTGTTGGCAATCAATATACTAATCTTGAGATATTGTGATTTTAAAACCTTTTAGCTCTACAGTAAATACAATTAACATTTAAACATTGGCCTATTGGAAGAATAAAATACCAGCATTTGAGGATTTATGTTGAGGATTTATGATTTATCCCAATCAAAAGGGTTTTATTTTAGGTTAGTTTCGTATTTAAGTACCCAATGTATTCCATCACGCTGTTATGTCAGGGTCATGTCATTGGAGGATACGGTAAAAGGATAAAAGGTTTATATACATTATACAGTTTTTCTTACCCTCTTGTAACACTCTTTACTATTATTATTTTGAACGTCGCTTGAGCTTTTCATCACAATTATACCTTGGCAATAGGCCTACTGTGTCTAAAACAAACAAAATATCAATTATCAATCATTGAGCATGACCCACCAAGGTGGGTATTTTAACCCAAATATGAGTGAAGGATGAGTGTAGAATGGTGTGTGATGACCTGTGTAGCTTTGTTACTGACTAAGATCAGCGGTTTCATTAGTCAGGATCATTTATTTAAAGCCCAACGATCAGGAACAGCTGGGTTCATGATGGTTTGATAATCTTTTTACGTGTCCCAAGTACCTCTGCATTGGTTCGTCACAATAAAATGGCAGGTTTTTCTCATCGATATTTTCCCAACTTCTGATTTGGGCTGTGAAACTGAGTTTTGAGTTTTCGTTGCTAAATTTTGCTGTATTCAGAAGGTGTAAAAACGCAGCCGTATTGATCAGCCAAATTCTGCATTCAGGAAAAATTTGCTATTATTTGTAACTTCTATTTTACACAAAACATTTATGTACGTGAAGTAACTAGTTTAATGTAGGTATTCTGACAATGTTGTTCTGTTTCAGACGTACTCTGGTCTGTTCTGTGTGGTGGTCAACCCATACAAGAAACTGCCCATCTACACAGAGAAGATCATGGAGAGGTACAAGGGCATCAAGAGACATGAGGTTCCTCCACACGTGTTCGCAATCACTGACACTGCCTACAGGTCCATGCTGCAAGGTAATCTTTGCGGTTCTTGCATGTTAAGTCAAGTGTCATTCAGGGGATTGCACAGCATGACCAGAAAAATATTTTTGGTACCTTAAAAGGAATTATGTGGGGAAGCTATCTCCAACTTCCACATTTTGAAATAGTAGTGAAATACAATTAAGGCCTAATACATTAACGGTATAAATTAATAGTGAATATAACTGCCCAGAAAGAAACTATTTAAATTGAACAAGGAAAAATAATAATTACATTAAATAATTATAATCGTGATACAGTAAAACCCCTGGTTAACTGAAATAAAGGGGGCGAGCCGTTTTGGATAATCAATTTTTCGGTTAACCCATCATATGCATAAATAGCCAATGTATTACCACGGTGTGTAGGAAAAATGAAAGACAATGTCTATATAATTCAGTGTTTTATTTCAGCTGAAAAAATGTTACAATGGGTTAGAAAATACTTTAAACTAAATAACTGAAGTTACTAAAGCATTTTACAGCCCTGTATTAGTTTATTGAACCATTTCGATTAAACCCGGGTTTTGGTCAACCCAAATTCAGTTAACAGACGTCTACTGTACAACAAAGTTTTCAGGCTGTTGCCAAATACAACTTCTTTTATTTGTCCCTTCATAAAATCAGTTGACAAATCCAAATGATGAGTTGGTATATGATCATGAACCACATTAAACACCTGGAATTGTACCATGTCTTTTGGTTTCCGTCGTCTTTGTGGGGTACCTTCTCACCTACGGTTCTGCTTCATGATCATCTTTTGTATACATCTCCTCATAAAGACTTAAACAAATCTGAACCAATAATATCCTTAGCTATGACTATACTCTCCGAGTCATCATTTAACAGATCTAAAATCTTGCATGATTTTGTCATCTGTATCTCCCAATATGAATAAGCTCTTTGTGTGCGATTTGATAGTATTCAAAGCTCTGTTACTGTCTATGACCAACTCACCCAATTCATAAATGATTATAGATAGCTGAATTCAATGTAGAACATTCAAAGTGGCAACTGACTTATCCTAAGTAGGCCTAAGAAGCTATTTAATAGTTCTGCTCCCCAGCTACACCTAGCTGTTTGGCAAGATAAGTACCGTAGTAGAGAATCGCTGAATATTCTAGTTGTGATCAAAGTCACTCAAGCATTGAGCATCAGCTAGTAGTCAATAAAGCAAGCTATCCATTCTGTGATATTACAAGTAACTTAGGTGTAGCTCTAAGCGTTTTCGGACATCGATGTTATGTTTTTAAATCCTCAGGTTGGAATATCATCTCAAAATTTCAGGTAAATTATAATCTTGTAACCCAAACACATCCTGTCATTCAATCTCCTTCGCATGTAAGGACGTCAATATTTACAGTACTGTACTCCAAAAAACTCCTATCACAATAGCAGTGCAAACACTTAAGTCAAGTGACAGTTTGGTCTGGCTATCAACATTCCAATCACTCTCTCTAATTGGCACCAATCAGGATCAATTAGTCCAAGAGACACAAATATTTACTAATCTCCAATTTAGCAGTGAATAACCCATTTGGTATTTTTAAGATTCAGTGGGTTTTCTTAAAATTTTATGATTTAGATATTGTGGTTATTTTTCTTGGTAAAGGCAAATACAATCTAATCAACTCCTTGGTTTAGTTTAAATTAGAGAAGTTTTCCCTATTTGTTGTTTATGACTTATCAGGCGACACACAGTTTGGACTTTTTTTTATGAAATTAAACATGCTTGTTTCCTGACCTTTAACGCTCCTCGTCATTCGATCAGGTGGCTTTGCACCCAACCATGGTTATATTGTACCACAATCAAGTTTAAAGAATCAGTGGAACCTTGATAACAAGAACCTCGATAACAAGTCACTCTTTCTAACAAGTGTCATTTTCTAATCCCCTTGAATTTTATTTTAGACCTAATCACATGTCATTGCAAACCTTGATAAGAAGTCGACCTTGATAATAAATATTTTTTAATAATCCCCATGAGAGCCTTGTTATCGAGGTTCTACTGTATAATATTTTTACTCCTTAAGCAAATCCAGGGCCCACTAGCATTTTGAAACAGTCAGTTTTTTCTTATCCAAATGTAATACTAAATCTTGAGCCAGTAATAGTCCGGAACTTTTTTACACTTTACTTCAGGCTTTCCTAGTGCAGCATCACCACTAGTTATGGCAAGTTTTGTGGTAGATAAATCCATTGGTGATTAGTGGGATTTGAACCAGAGACCTAGGGCACTGATGCCCTGCGCTCTACCACTAAACCAGTGGTACATTAGGGCTGGTTGAGTATTTCCAATCAGACTAAATGTTTTTCCAAAACTTAATCTTGATGTAGTGATACAAGGTGTGGTGTGCTTCTGTATTGGTGTTAGCAGCGGTGATGAGTCACTGATAAGCTATCTGTAGTTGAGTCAGTCACTGTAACTACTAACTCTTTACTGCTTATCATTGTATCTTTACTTTACCTTGATACAAAGCTTATCAGTGTTGAGAAAGAGTTGAAAAAATGTCGGGTTGTAAGGAATACATTAAGCTAGCTTGTAAGCAATGCAGTCTGATAAAATAAGTATCATTTAATTTTAAGGATACATTTAGGTTTTTTTAATGGTTAAGCCCAATGGAACAGCTGAATCTAATTATTTATCCAATTATACTGAACCCAGCTATTCTGCAAAAAATTAAGCTTTGAGCTCCAAAGACTTAGATCCAAAAGTAACAAATTACAAAACAAAATTTTAACTTCACTCTATGCGAATTAACAGAAACTCTTCGTAAACACCTGTAAGATGTAAGCATATACTTGACATATGCCTCAGAGCCTACTAAACTTACACCAAGTAGTGTTGTGAAAATGAAATGAAAAATTCTTTATTCGGTAGGCTGTTAGATTTTAAAGATGTTAGCCTCTGGATCATACTGTCAATGATCTGTTTTTCATGACTCATCTTCTACCGGCTACACCACACAACCGCTTATCAGTATTACAATTTGGCAAAATTGTTTAAAAATATTTTTGGGATGAAGAGGATTTTTTCAACAACTTGGTAGACAGCTGGAGAATGAACATTTAGGTTCGGAACCTTGGTCGCTGACAGTACAACAGGTTTTTAACCTTTTTATTTCTTATGTTTTGATCAATGACCGAGCAGTCCAATGGGTTACTCAGGCCATGAAAAAGGGTTCTGATCCTTTCTTGGTAAGGTTTGATGTGCAACTCATGACAAGTTGACCTATCAGAGCTGAAGTTAAACCGTGAACGGCTATGGTGGAAGTTGATAGGTTTTTTGTGAGTTGCACCTCAAATCATTTTGTTGCTTTTCTTATTTTTACTTTTTGTGTCCACAAAACTTGGTTAGAAGAAATATTATAAAAAGAAACGTAGCATAATTCGTTCAAAGGGTCAAAACCATTAATAGTCAGCAACACTTGTGTGAGCCATCAGTTAGGTGAGTCACAGGTTGTACAGATGGTTGGATGGCTGCAGACTGTAGATTGTAGATTGTACTTTCACTGGACGCCCACATAAGGCAGGGCAACCTCCATCGCGGGGTCAAGGCATTGCTGCATACACCATACACTTGCATAGCGACAATCATGCAGCAAATGATAATAAATAAGGGAGATTGAGATTTGTTTTGTAATCTTCTCGCTGAATTTAACTAACAGTCCTTATGCGATAATGTTAAATAATAAATGATTAATCCTTTACCGGATGTGGATTGCAGTTAATATAGATCTTTGGTGTGATAACAGTTTGGGTCTGAAATTAGTTTTCAAACTAAACTGATTTTTATTTTGTTAGGTTCTTTTACTTTAGGAAAAATTAAAATTCAGAAACATTACGTCCATTTGAAAACACCAATATTGTTGATAACTTATGAAAATTCATTGTTCAAAGCTATGACTCAAGAGTATTTCCCCATATTCATAGGCCTATGATAATAACTGTTAAGATAAGGTCATGTTTCATAATGCTAGAACACTGATCACTTTAACCAATCCACTTCTTGCAATTTATATGGCCTATCACTGCATACATAAAACACTTGTGTTCGTTTAAACAGTTCAATTCTTGTTGGCAGTCTTTTCTAATTCCATTCCATTACTTGGCTGATTCAAGTACTGTAGTTAACTTTTATGATCTCTAAAGTAGATGTAGTTGAGTCAACTGTGGGTGGACTGCAAACATTGCAACACAGCTGATCTAAGATCACCAATCTAAAACATTTGAATAAAGTAAAGCTGTTTGCAGTGTTGCATATGCTGTTTATACGAGGCCGGTAGAGCAGACAGGGTACTTGCATCTAGTGCATTTCAAGTTACCTGAGAAAAGTAGCCTGCAAACAACTGGTCTGATGTAAACACGGCTTAAAACGGATACTGGAACTTTCAATTTAACATTGAAAAAATATCTTGGATATATACGGAAAAGATTAATTCAGATTCAATCACTTATTGGTGATATCGCTGTGCACTTTGGTAAATCACAAATCAAAATCAATCGTGTAGGTGTTAAGCGCGATCTCAACAATCCAAGTAACTGTCGATCTTGTCCATGAATCAATCACCCAGCAGGAGTCTGACTGAAATCAGGTTAATTAACTAACTACATCCTTTCGACAGACCCAACGAGACAAAGTGAAATATGGGTCAAAACCTTGTGAAACAATCAGTCGAAGAAGAAATAAGGGTAAAATAAACTATGATGTCGAACATGATGTCGAAAGACATACAACATATTATATTTGCTATGAACAATTTCAACTCTTTTCAATCAAAATTGTTTAGCTAACTTTATTTGTAGTGCATATTTATTTTCTGCTGAATCTGGAATTTTAAGATGAAATTGTTGAATAAACTCAACCACATTTCAATGGAGTTGGGCAAACATAAGGAGGACAATGTAACAGTGAAGACTCAGCAATTCTTGCCATGAGGCAATACAATGCTAACTCAGCTGCTGAATAAACGTTCGAACAAGCTGAAGCATTGCTGATGCGGTCTTAGTCAGAATGCTGAGAATTGGGTTGGTTGAAATTTAGACAATCGCAATGACTAATTTATGACCACATGGTTCAAAGGAATAATTCAAATTTTAAATGCCCATTATTGAGAACACATTGGGAAATCGCATACAACAATTAATTGGGAGTTATGAAAAAGTGTTTGCTTAATATTAAGGTGTTAAAGACATATTTTGATATTTCCCCCATGTGAAATAGTCACTATTAAAACAATTTTTAAAAGTGTTTTCTCATTAAAATACCAAATCGTAAATTTTAAAATCATTGATTTGTTATCGAGGTTTTCAATAGAATAAGGTTAAAAAATCAAGGATATTTGAAAATGACACTTGCTATCAAGGGCCACGTTATTGAGGTTCCACTGTACTAAAATGTTTATTCTTTGTAGCCAGAATATATTGATGAATAAATTTATATTGTCATCTCAATAATATTATTTATTAAGGAGTTATCCCTAAATCACTACCTATTCATTTAGATAGATTGATGGTATACAGATAATTGATTCCTGTGAAACATTACAACCTTTTTCACAACTATATGGTGAATCAGACCACCCGTGCTCATACTTTAACAGGATATACAGCCGCTTGTGTAACTCACTGACTCACTGATCAGGTATACAAATGTTTACCCACTTCTAGAATAGCTAAGGATCTGAAATTTGTTTGTGGAGGTCCGTCTCAGTCCCTAACCACCCAGAAAATAAAAAAATCTCCACATTTTCAAATTACAACCCCCCCCCAAAAAAAAAAAAAAAAACAACTCCCTTAAATCTCCCTTTTTTTTTGGAGAAATACATTTTTTATCAGCTAAAGCACAAAAACGGCAAGAGCTAACAAAGATTTGAAAGAATTTACATGGTCATGAATTAAATTATCTACAAAACACTATTCGGAGTTTTTAGAAAATCGCACTCCTTCACCTTCAAAAAACGCCCTACTTCTAATATTTGTAAAATGCCTTGGATTTTCGACATGTTTTTAATTTTAATTTTTCGGACATATATTTGCACTTTTTATGATCCTAACATTGAAAAGCAAGTGCCTTAAGTGACATTTTAAAATTGTAATTCACGGCAGATTTTCAATTATAAAGGTAGTTTTTTAACGCTTGTTGGGCCAAAACGTTGTGCACGGGTGGTCTGATTCACCCTGTATTTGAAAATATTGTTGATTTGGTGGTGTTTTTTGACAGACCGAGAGGACCAGTCTATCCTGTGTACTGGTGAGTCTGGTGCTGGTAAGACAGAGAATACCAAGAAAGTGATACAGTACCTGGCGTACGTAGCGGCCAGCAAACCCAAGGGCTCCTCCACCCCTCACACGGTAAACATCTACTCATTACTAGCTTAGTAAACTGTACACATAGTAACCTACATGTTAACCTACACTGTGCTAGTGTAAGTGATTTGCCTGGACACTCTATGTGTCCAATATAAATGTTACATAGTTTGGTTATACATCATGGATAAGACTTTGGTTGACAGTTAAAGAACTTTTGGCCAGTGTAAAAATACAGTGTTCAATAGGCCTTTAATTGTTTTTTTTTTTCAAAGTTAGTGTAAAAAATGAAATATTACGCCATAGGGATAATGTAATTAATAAATTAGTAGCCTATGAAACACGTTATTGTACCCTGACAAATTGTTAATGAAAACGTATTATAAACCTTCTTTAAAATGTTTGTACCCAAGCTGCATTTTACAAGGTAACATAAGTTTCAAAAACGACTTGTATTATAAACCAAATAACAGATGTCAAAATTTATATTTGTTAGTTCATTTAGCATACTTAAAGTACTAATTTGCATTACTAAATAACAAATTATTTAAATTTCACGAGCAAGTGACAGATCAACCCGTGAAAGTATAAGTTAATGGATTGATAAAGTGGTGGTCATGTCTAGACATGTGTAGACAGCCGATGTTTATATTTCTGTTGGCCGTTCGCCACAGGGCTTCATCTTGGAGTAGATCGTCCGTCGACACCGACAATAGAATCTTCAACCGTTTGTTTTGTATTTGTTGCTACTTTACAGAGTTTAGTTAGTTTGGTGGGTTGTAAAACAGTTGTAGGATTTCAATTAGGTTACATTTCACTAATTTGCTAATCATTTCAAAATTAATTAAGGTAAAAAGTTAGTTATGACTACAGGGGTAACATTTTTAAATTTGTGTTTTTAAACGGTACCTTTTGGAGAATAAGACAGAGCTTTTAGTCTATTTCCACAAACAAGTTTTTGAACAATATAAAGAATTTTTCAATTGCCACCAAAAATGTAGCCTTAAAAAAGTCAAATTAATAAGTTTTTAATCAAATTGGTCAGTAAAAATATTTAAAAACTTACAAAATCCCAATAAAACCAAATTTTGTATACTCGGTTCAAAACTGTAAACTACATAAATGGAAATATAACATTTGGCTCTGTTTAAGAGAAGAAATCTATTTTTCTGTTTAAATTTCTTTACATAGATAACTTAAAAGATTGTATAGCCAATGCTTGAGCAATAAGTAAATAACATTTTATAACTTGTTAACCGAACGATTTTGATATTTTTTACAAGAACTCAAGCAGAATTTTGTAGGGATATTGTTACAGTTTATTTTGTAACTATATAAATCATAGCATCAAAAAGACAGTCTAATTTATTGTTTATTAATGAGATAAAATTCATTATCTAAAATGATCGCTGAACCCAGAGGTATTGAGTCGTGGAGTGCTGTTCAGTTTCCCCTTGTTTACGGGGGATCTTAACTTTGAGGAGTGATGAGAACCAAACATTCCAATACGGAAATAACTCTGAAACAACACAGTTACCGAGACCAGGGGACGGTGGCTAATGTGTCTCAGATGGCTGTGATAGTTATCAGTTAAATAACCTTTTAATAGGGACAACAGTAAATTATTTATCCCTTTCGATGCTAGTATTTTTTTTGTAATTTTTAAAAATTCTTGAGTTATTTACTTATTTTGTCCAAAAAGTACTAGGCTTGACCCACGGGTGTAAAGTCTAGTGTGCAAGAAAAAAAAATCGGTAAAAATAAAATTTTTTTATCTGAAAAGTGCTAAGGGATATATTGGGCCTCGATCGTATGAGGAATCTAAAGAAACCATCACTGTTTCAAACAACAACAGAGTCAACCGATGTGGCCATTTAAACTCAAACGATTGAAAGTCGGGCCGGCACAATTTATTGTCGCTTAGCACTTTTCGGATTAAATGTGAACAATATATCGTTTTATAGTATTTTTTTTAGGAAAAAGTCGCTCAACGATATATTGCACTATAGCACTGAAAGGGTTAAAGAGAATATTAACTTCTAAACTAAAAAATGTATTAAGTACTTAGTTATTTTAGGGACTTTTGAGAGGGATTTCTATAAAAATTAGCAAAAAACAAGTTTAGTAACATCATTGTGTTTCATTGTAAATAATATAAACACTGTATCACCAACAAAAAGTGCTTAGCGAAATAAGTTGCAAATTTACAAGTTATATGAATATTGTAACTGGATTTGATAAATTACAAAATTAGTACAAAAATATAAATTTCTATGGATTTACAATATCTGCTAACAGTTCCAATTGCAACAGTGAGGGTGTTAAATGTTATGCAGAATGCTATTGTCATACACATCAGTCTAGAGAGTGTTAATAACGCTCGAGTTGCTTCATGGTCTACACATAGGCCACACACTTGATAGGCCACATAAGGAAATGGCATCCAGCCAAAACATGTAACACCCCAACTGTTACGATTGGAACAGGAATTGTAAATCAATACGAGTCAATATCACTGCTTCAGGGCTGTTACAAAGTATTCAAAAATATTGGACAAAGTATTTAAATGTTTAACAATTAGTTTTGTAGCATAATGTTTAAACCCACGTGTAGTATATTTAGTGGTGAGCAACATTGACATGCCATCTGATGTTCAATGTGGCAAGCCTTGCCCCACATGTACAGTGCCATACAAGGCAGGGACGCCGGGCCACCGTATATGGCAGAGTCTTGCCTCAATAACACACACCAGCTGGTCACTGGTCAGGCTTTCACCAGCCACCAGCCACAAGCACACAGAGGGGAGGTTTTCGAATTTGTTAAATCACTTGTGGCTTTTCTTTTGATAGTTTTAAATTCTTTTTCAGTTAAGGTTATTAAGACGCATTTAATTATAACATTAGGGGGTTTGCTAAGATTTTGTCGCTTGCATTTTGGATTTTAAATCAGTTAACTATGGAGATTTTTTTTAAAAAGAGGTTTTAGAAATTTTTAAGTGGTTCAAGTTTGGCGTATGGAAAAATAATGCATCTCCTTACAATAGTTGTAAACTAGGCTTTCAAGTTATAATATTTAAATAGCCAAATCATTATTGGCATGAAAACAATATATCAATCAGTGGCGAGAGTCATACCGTAGTCCTACTAACATAGTTACAGTAGTAGTTACAACATTTTTTTCATCATACTGTCTTATGTCAGAAAAGAGCGGTTTTTAGTTCTCTAAATGGGCCGCATAATAATTGTTTCCGGGTAACTTCAAATAGGGAACAAAAGATATACGGTACATTTTTCGGTTCGCTAACCTCAAAATTTGTTTATGGCACATTATAAATGTTGTTTACTATTTGAAACGCACATTAAGAAAACGCTGCTAATCACCCAATATTTTAAGCTATGTTTGTAAACAACAGAAATTTAAACATTGATGAAAACTTTGTATGACATCAAATTATGTGGTCTAATGTTGTAATTATTAGAAGGTTATTTCCACAATATGATAAAAATAGTTGTTCATCATACGGAGCGAAAGTATCTTTTTGGTACTTAATCTTATTTCCAATCTCGGCTGCGCTCGCTTGTAAAACACTTGTGTACTAAAAAGAGACATTTTTACTCCTAGTGATGGAATATACTATAGTGCAACAAATTCACTGACAAAAGCAACTAAAGCATTACAATTCAACAGCTAACAAATACCTGAGGATGTGTTAACTACATAGTGTGGAATGGAATAGTAAACATTATGCAGTAAAATATATGTCCACTGGCTGTAAAGTAGCTGTTAAGTAATAGTGTAAAAATGCAAAGGTTTTCAAAGAAATGTAGGATAGCAGGACAGGCACGCTTCATTAACATGTTAGTTTACTGTAAGTGTTGCGTCCAAAACACTATAAACATCTCAAGATGGAACCAATGGTCCTCTCGCTGCATCAGTTTACTGTCCAATGTGTTGTTGTTTCAACATTGGGACTGTTCCAAGTGAACCTTACAGTTTTGACATAGATACAACTAACTGCTGGATCAAGTTGACAACAAACATGTGTTACTAAATGTACATACTTTAATAACGTGGATAAGATAACCTGATTAGCTGTGAACATTGTTGAAAGAGAATAAATGTTGAACATGTGTCTATTGATTTAGGTAAATATCAACAAATTTTGAAACATCAGTTATCCAAATATATAAATGTTGAAGTATCGACAATAATTCAGTTGTAAACCATTTTGTTGAACATACCTCACTCAAAATATTTTATTATAAATAATACCTATGAATGATGAATTAACCTAATGATAATAAAAAATATGTAAGAGTTATGTCTACTTTGGGCAGTAAAAATGTGACTTGGTCTGTTTAAAATCACACAATTCTGTCTTAACTAACAGATTAACGAGAAAGACAAGTAAATTAACGAGCAGTGTAACACTAGCCACCCATGTTTACTAACATCTCGCATGTAAACAAACAAGAGAGTTGAACTTGGGAGTGAGAGGTAAGAGCGTAAATCTCCTACGACCTACACACTTCGTTAATATTAACATATAAACCTAACTGCGGGAGTGTCAAGGTAACGAACAGTAAAAAACTTAGTGTTTTTGAACAGTCGTAATTATCCCTTTGGTTAGTAAGACATCATACAATGCAAATGTATTATACAAGCAATTTTCAATAGCATTGAAATCGGAGGAAATCGTAGGAGCCATTTTTTAAAATCATATTGTGCGCAATCTTTACTCATATTATAGTATATATTAGTAACCAAGATGTGACATTAAAAAATACTTTAAAACAACTGCCCAACAAACAACTAATTTCTACTAAAACTAACTTTATTTTCTATCAGTTAGTTTTTCAACTAACTAATAACTTCTATCAGTTACTTTTTAAACTAACTAACTTATAACTTCTATCAGTTACTTTTTACGGGACTAACTTATAACTTCTAACTAGTTAGAATTTTTGACTAACTTTCCCAACTATGATAACCGGAACCATTCAGGAGACGTCAAGTTGACAGCTTGGTTAGGCTAATAATATATC